TGTATGGGGAGAGGCCCAGGAGAATGCATATAACACTTTGCGGGAATACTTATTGGGCAAACCAATTTTGAAGTTGCCAGACCCACAGAAACCATTTGTGTTGCGGACGGACGCGTCTCAGGTAGGAATTGGAGCAGTACTTATGCAGAATCATGGTGAGAAGCTTCATCCAGTTGCTTATGCAAGTAAGAAGTTATCCGATGAAGAAAAGAAATATTCAACTGTAGAAAGGGAATGTTTAGCCATTGTATGGGGCGTGAATAAATTTCGCCTTCCGGTATATTTAGCCGGTGTGGAGTTCATTTTGCAGACGGATCATAAACCATTGTCTTACCTTGATAAAGCCAAGTTTGCAAATGACTGAGTGATGAGATGGGCGATGACTCTGCAAGGATATAATTATCGTGTTGAGGATATTCCTGGACGAGACAATGTGGACGGGACAACCTGAGTAGATTGATGGACTGAGGAACAGTATAGTAGAATGTTATTCGTTTATGACTATATTTCATATTTTATTATATTCTACTGTATGTGATTTTCGAATTTATGTATACAGAGCTTTATTCAGTTCAATTTGATATATTGTATTGTTGTTTTATTTGAAATTATCATATTCATATTATTGACGTCGTTGCTAGTTATGTAATATTATGTTATAATATTCTTGAGAGGGGAGGCATGTCGCATACGACTTATTTACCACTTCCGTGTCACTGAGAATGTTCTAGAACCGTGCTGTGTCTGGGTGGAATATTCTAGATTTTTTTTTAGAAACTGGTTGAATAGGTAATAGAACACTGTAGGAGGCAATATAAGGTAATGGAACATTCTAGAAATTTGTAGTAAGTTCCAGACTCATTATGTATGCTGATGTAATGGTCTATTTATAGACAGTGTGGGTATATATAGGGGAGTTGTTCAGCACTGAGATCAGATCGGAGATCTCTTTGAATTGTATTGGAGTTTAAGTATCTAGTTATTGGAGTAGTGGAGTTTTACCGCGTTATTGTACTTGATGTTTGCAGAGTATAATAATACCAGTACCAGTTGAAACCTCATCTGTTGGCTCCGTGTTCGTATTTTATCATCGCCGCCAGGGAAGTCTTTCTGTTACTGTTGCCATTTTGGTATTTGAACCATCACACCTGTACTATACCAATTACGGTAATATTACGTTGCGTGTGACACATACATTTATCTAGTCTTATCGCCCTCGAGTTTCCAAGCAAAAATATGTCAATGCCAAAAACAACCAATCTTCGCCAAATCTTCTATGATTTTTTGACAATATCATTTATTCAGTCCAGCGGTTAGATAGGTTATTAATTAGCGATGCTTGAGGAACCAAAATTTACGATATAAATCACTCTGGAGACAAAAAATCGGCGATAATTGGGTGAGAAACTGAATTTCAAAAACATATTTTATATATATTGTATATAATTAAGCCAAGCAGTATTTCTGTATCTTATCTCATACAATAAGTTGCCTGTATATAGTTAAGATGATACTGTTAATTGTATTAACTGTGATTAACTGCAATACATGTACATCCAAAAATGTAATTTAGATTTTGTTTTGGCACTGAATATGCCATAAACAGCAGCCAGTAAAGTGAATTCTTTTGACTGAAAATATAAATGAGACAGATAAAAAAAAAATAGCTCTCTCTGTACTAAGTAGGAGTCCAAGACTCATCCTAGGATAAAGAGCGAAGTTAGTTAGTATGAGTTAGTATGAAATATTTGTTTATAAATACTGAAAAATGAACTTAAAATGAATACATCAAGTAAATGACACACAGCATATCATAACAAGAAGACAGATATTTATGTCTTTCTTCCTTCTATCATTCAAAATGGGATTTCATAAACAACATATTTTTCTTCACAGAACAGTTTGTTTGTATAAAAGAATTCATTTACCAGAACCTATGCACAATGTTCCTATACAGCCAGGATTGTTTAAAGGTACATATGGCAGTCATGGTGTTGAAGTTGTTAATCTCACCTACCAAGATATGCAAATACTTGGCACTAAGGTCACTGTGAGTATATAGACAAACTCTCATGATTGAAGGAGAGCAACATTTTAAATTCATGAAGATTTAAATTCTCTGTTTATGTGCTTTTACACTAAATGCCAGCAATTACATTAAAAGTCAAGATTTGCTATAACATTATCTATATTTATCTATTGGTTCCAGAATAGAAAGTCGCCAAAACATATTTACATGTACCCCGGTATGTATGTGTGGGTGTGGAATGCAGTGTCATGTTACCAAGTGTTCTTCAGTCTTTCTACAATTCACTTTTGTGGTTTATTGAGGTGTAAACTTGCAATGACACAGTTAGCCTGGTAGTCTCAGATGTAATCCAGTATGTGATGATGGTCATTTAATACCTTCACATAAATGATTCGCTGACACACGAAACAAACTCGCCTCACACAACAATCACATGGGATTTCAGCTGTATATAACATCACAAAATGGTTCCCCAATCCACTAATCAGTGTGGGAGGGAGGCATCGAATTGCAGTTCGATCAGATTGCGAGCCACAAGGGGGGGGGGTAGCATGAGAGGGTGCCGTCTGATCTGGATGGAAGGTTTAAAGTCAGTCGCCTGTAGGCCATCGTCGAAGCAACAACGTCCCTTTTACAAATAGATGGATTAATTTCAGCGATTTATTTACAAAACAATCCTTAATGCAACTTAGAAACCTTACCGTACATAGGAATATACAGGCCCTAAAATTTTGTCTATTTCAAAACAATTTAACTGACAACCAGTTTGACGCTACTAGTTCCTTGCAGCCCGGCGTTCTACATGTAATTTTATTGCATTCAAAATTGTTCTATTTCTAATTGCATGCGCACACACGCACACTAATTTATTTAAATGAATACTAATTAGGTAACTTGTCACTGATTAAAATTATTGAAAACATGCACATAATTTTGAGCAATAGTACTAGAGTGAGATATAAACGTGCCTCTGAATTCTCCATGAATTTCATATGTTTCTATGATCACATTAAAGTGCCTGTGAAATGGCTGCTATTTTCACGCCTAAAATTATCCATTGATACATAAATATTATTAATTTTTATGTTTCTAAGCATAAATAATTTTTTTTAAGTGAAAAAATGTGTTTCAAACTTAGTCTACGGAAACTTTATTTTTGTGTATTTTAAAACGAGGCTCCTCATTAGCTTCTCATTTGCATACAGAAATTCCCCTTGTGACGTCAGAAGGGGAAGTCACTGGGCAGCTTGCATTGCCGATACGTGTAAATAAGACAAATTTCTTGTGCTGTTTTCTCGTTTTTGACTAAATTGCCACTTATGTACTTGTTCGTTGAGGAAGAATGGACCATAACGAACACATAGTATCAAGTTTGTTGCATGGGGTTGAGTCAGATGCGAAATATGTCCGGTCTGGTGTAGCTAGTCACCGTGGTCGTCACCGTCACCGTCACCGGAGCACGTTTGTACACTGTCGCTGGACTCCGGCATTGGACAAAATCAAATTTGACGCCTGAATCGTCTTGTTATTTAGCAGGTTACTAGACACTTTTGATTTATAAAATAGAGAAATAATTTTAAAAATCGACAAAACAACACAGTTACTAAATAAATGACTGCCGCGTTGTAATGGGTGAAAGCTTCGGGTCATGAGGGGGACAAGTGCGTGAATGGCGACGTTTAATTGGATAACAAAAATAATTGAGAGCGACTCACATACAGACAAATTCAGAGTGGATTTTGCGTGATTTTCATGATTACGACATCATATTAAAAAAATACATTGACAGCTCAAGCCCGGATTCTTATTCCGTAAATTATTACGCCGATCAAGCTGCAAGTAAAGGCAACAAACGTGTGAATTCAACATTCAACACCAATAACCGAACAATTCAGACACTTTTAGCCTGCGAAAATGAAAACAGCCTGAGGGCTGCGTAATTTCCTGTTTGTCCGACGCTTCGTTTTTGTGTCATTATCAAAATTACTGTTACCTTTTACATAACACGGGTGGTCTTTATAAAGCGATAATCGGGATCTCAAAAAAAAATCAAATCATTTGAAACACATACTCGACGTCTCTCTCCTTTCTGAAATCCGTCTCAGTGATCATGGGCTGGTCCGGAATCTATTTTTTCGAAAACGTTTTGTATTGTCGGCGTTTCTCGTTAAAACCTAGTTGTTTTGTCATGGACAAGGACAGTTTTTCATAAAACAAAAAGAATCTGACGTAAGTGGACACTGCATATGACGCTGTTAGGAGGAAGTCCACCCCAACCTTTTCTCGTTATTTTCACGGCTTTCGTCCACCGATTTCGCACCTTCGAATCGATTGGAATTGTGTAAATACTTACACTATGACTACCGGTATACGCATTACTGCAACCGCCCACAACACAACGTTTAACCATCATAAATGTTTGTGAAAACAACTTCTAAAAATTCGCTCTCTCAAAAATAAAATAAAATAAAATAAAATAAAATAGACAAAAAAAACGCGATTAAAAAATGTATATCGTTTGAAAGTACAGTTGTACGTTGAATGACACAGTGATATAAAAGTACGGCCCAGGGGTATGGCTTCCTCTCATATTTTTGCATTCGGTGGCGCACTTTCGGCAAGAGTCGGAAATCCGGAAACAGTCGGCAGTTTCAGGATAGGTGGGCGTGGCTACAGCACGGGTAATATCTCAAATTTACTTGGATACGAGTAATCATTTTCAGCAAAAAAAATCAATAATCGCCCATTTCAGTGGGACACAGCCCTAAAATGGGAAGCGTATGGGTGGACATTGCACAGGCACTTTAAAGAATAAACCTGTGGTTACTTTCAACAGTTTGCTAGAAAAACATGTCTCAAAAAACACTTTCACAAAAGTTTTTAGATTATTTTTTTCAGCTTGTAATGATAGAATCAGTCAATTTAGAACTATGGAGAGCATGTTGGCACAATTTTACTGAAAAGATGAGTTTTTCATTGCTCATGAATATTAATTTATGCAAATGAAATGATTATTCCAACCAATCGTGTCATGCAACTCCAAGAAATAGAGCCCCAAGACTGCAACATCCTAAAGTCTATGTCGAGTATGAGGTGCTTCTTGATAATATTTAACTAATCTTTTTAGCTCCGCTGTCGACTTATCATATGAGTGATTGTCCGTCGTCCGTGTCATTGTTTTACTTTTTAGACTTCTTCTTGAAAACTACAAGCCTGAATGCTTTGATACTTGGTGTATATGTACCCTTGGTAGACCTCTCTTAGATTTGTTCATTTCATGATATCTTCAATTCTCTAATTTTGGTGAATATTTTTGATGTTTTTGGTAAAAAGTGATATTTTCGACTTCTTGTTAAAAACCAAAAGTCCGATTGCTATGATATTACATATATAGGTACTACATGTGGACCTCTCTCAGATGTGTTCAATTTGTAATGATATTTTTAGTTCTCTAATTTTGATGAATATTTTTGTAGTTTTTGGTAAAAAGTGATATTTTCAACTTCTTGTTAAAAACCACAAGTCCGATTGCTTTTATATTACATATATAGGTACTACATGTGAACCCTCTCAGATTTGTTCATTTTGTAATGATATCTTTAATTCTCTAATTTTGGTGAATATTTTTGTCATTTTTGGTAAAAAGTGATATTTCTGACTTTTTGTTGAAAACCGCAAGTCCAAATGCTTTGATATTAGATATATAGGTACTACATGTGGACATCTCTCAGATTTGTTCATTTTGTATCAATCTTCAATTATCTAATTTTGATGATTATTTTTGTAATTTTTGGTGAAAAATGATATTTTTGAATTCTTGTTGAAAACAGCAAGTCCCATTGCATTGATACTATGCATATTGTTCATTTTCTAATGATATCTTCTGTTATTTAATTGAAATGTACATTGCTAACAGTGGAGCTATCTCAGCCGACAGGTTGCTTGTTTTGATAATTAATCGTTCCTTTTGTCAAATTGATGATTCGATTCATCCAGATTTCAAAGCCCCTCTTAATGTTGCAATAATTTGCTTAATATGTGTACTTAACAAGCATTTGACTATATGCCTGTTTTGCTGCAGGGTGATCCTAATGTACCAGCGTGTCAGCTGAGTATAGAGGCAGATCTGAGCGAACCTTTGAGGCTTTCACTAGAACAACAGCAAACATTAGCCATATTAGAACTTGTCGACAAAGAAGATGTGATTGTAAGAGATCAGGGTCTAGGTGAAGAACAACCATTCAAACTACCACATGGTGTGTCTGATAGGGGTATGAATCATATACAAGACCGTATACATAAAACTATTACTACCTGCAGAGCTCGGTAAGTTTGTTTGGCCATCTGCACTTGCATCTGTTTTTGATCACCTTCAAACTTGTACATTTATTACACAGGTAGTGAAGGCGAGTACTTATGTTGGTGATTATGTTCTCTAAAGGTGGACAGCAATTTTAACACTAATGTAAATTGTTTTTTGCCAAACTTTGAGGCAAATTTGAATTCTGATCATACATTGCATAACATACTACAAAAACAAAAACAAATGCTTTAACAGAGTCCTAATTGGTATTCCAGTCAAAAGTGTTAGAGAAATCAATGTCTAATGGTACAAATCATAGAGATTGGGTACTTCATAGTGGTGCAATAATATTCATAATAGTGACGTTTAGTGTGAAATATCTCCAACTGGTATTTCACACTAAACATAGCCATATGCATGACAAACATCATCAGTCTCTGTGTGCTTGAATAGTATGTAATGAAATTGGTGCGTCAGTACTGTTTTTATCACTGCACATGACGGAAAATATATAAATGAATTTTGATATTCAAACATGTGCGAAACCAAATCGTTTTTTTCTGAGATGAATGAGGTGATTCCATTAAAACTTTTTATGAGGATCATCCATGTTTGGTTACAAGTGCACGTTACCATACTTCCCCGGTCATAAGCCCAGGAGCCTGAATATGTAAAATCAGGAAAATTAGGGGGTGGGCTTATGCTCAAGGACCACCTCAGGAAAAATAATTTTTTGGGGGGTTAAAATTGTAAAATTTAAAAATCTTTCTACCCACAACATATCGTCTGAATTTATGGTGCAAAAATGGGTAAGGGGCTATGGGAAATCTCTGACTTGCTTTGACTGAATATGTTCAAATTTTAAATATTCATTATTCATCATGTCATAGATATACATGTTTGACGATCCTATTAAAAATGTCCAAATGATGGCCATTTTTATGCTAAAAAATCTTCAAATTTCAAGCATTTATGGATGGATTTTGTTCAAACTTATTACATACATTAGACATTACGAGTTCCTGATCCCATGTCATTTTATTTTTCAGATTGGATTCAAAATGGCTGACTGGCGGCCCTTTTGTTTTAATGAATGGGCTTCTAGAGCCATATCTCTGACATGCTTTGACTGATTATGTTGAAATTATATATATTCATTATACATCATGTTATAGATATACATGTATACATGTATTCAAAATGGCTGATTTTATTTTAATTAATGCTGTCTCAGAGCAATATCTCTCAATGTGGACAAGTACTTGTTTGACTATCAGATACAAATGTCAATCATTTTTAGTCCCCGTTCGGACACAGTCCGAAAACGGGAAATTATGTTTTGACCTCCGTGTGACCTTATCTTAGAATTGCCTGGACCAATCACAATCAAACTTCACACATACATCATACATGATATTATACAATGCACGTCAATTTGTATCAAATTTCAAATATTCATTATAGATAATGTCATAGATATACAGATATATTGGTTTGACGATCGTATTAAAAATGGGCGATTGGTGGCCGAATGGTGGCCATTTTTGTGCTGAAAAATCATCAAAATCAAGCATTTCCCGGCTGTTTACAGATGGATTTTGTTCAAACCTTGTATATAAGTTGGACATTATTGAACCTTGATGCACATCATTTTGTTTTTCAGATACATGTAAGATTCAAAATGGCCGACTGGCAGCCATTTTGTTTTAGTGAATGTGGTTCTAGTGCCATATCTCTGACTTGCTTAGACTGATTATGTTCAAATTTTAAATATTCATTATAAATCATGTCATAGATATACAATTATATTGGTTTGACGATCCTATTCAAAATGGCTGAATGGTGGCCATTTTTGTGTTAAAAAATCACCAAATATCAAGCATTTCTGGCATTTATGGATGGATTTCGTTCAAACTTATAACATACATTAAACATAATGAGTTCCTGATGCACGTCATTTTATTTTTCAGATCAAATTCAAAATGGCTGACTGGTGGCAATTTTGTTTTAATGAATGGGCTTCTAGAGCCATATCTCTGACATGCTTTGACTGATTATGTTCAAATTTTGTATATTCATTATACATGTATTCAAAATGGCTGATTTTGTTCTAATTAATGCTTTTCCAGAGCAATATCTCTCAATACAAATGTCAATCATTTTAATGTTAAACAATCATCATAATCATATTCCTAACATGTTTATGTTCCTGCTATATTACTATAAACAAAACTATATATCTTAAATTTGATAACTAACTGGGACTGTGCCATGCATGGCTTGTTTTTCTGTGACTTAATCAAATTTGTCGAGTTGATAGTTATTTTCTCTAAAATTCCAAAATCACAGTCTGATGTGTTCAGAATTATTTCTGGCAGATGAAAGAGCTTAGTATTGTACATGCAGGATTGTACATATTGGGTTACAGGTGCACATCAATTCAAAAACCCTGGAATGGCTTACATACTGTATATTGTTTCAAGTTACATAATTTAGTAATTCAACCAGTGAGCTGGTCTTGGCTGGGTTAGGTTGGGTGGTAGACAGTCCAGTATATTCGACTACTGTGTTTTGTTGCTTTCAAATAGCATTCGCTTTTGCTATTAACTGAATACACCCACAACTGTTTATTTTGTGTTTATTGTGTTTTAGTGTTCACAGTGGAATTTTCATGCACAGTTGTAATTCAATAAAACATTTTTTCTAGGTAATAGCAGTGCATAATCACAGTTAATATTGCTGGAACCTTCATTTTATCTTCATAACTTTATAATTAGGAGATTTTGGAGACAGAGAGTATGATCTATAAGACATCTATTGACAAGGATTAAATCATTTATAATGACCTTCATTGGCAGGAATTATATATTCTATAATGACCTCTGTTGGCAGGTATATTATCCATAATGGAGTTTATTGACAGGGATTACTGTAGAATACTTTATTTTCGCTTGGAATTTATTTTCGCTATTTTCGCTGAAGGGATGTTTCCGTGAAAATAAAATCCAGCGAATATACTTTTTTTCCTATATTTCACATTAAACTCATCAAAAAGCAGTGAAAATAAATTCCACACAAAACGCCCAAAAAGCCTTTTCAGCGAAAATTAATTCCAGCGAAAATAAAGTATTCCACAGTATATAATCTATAATGACCTTTGTTGGCAGGTATATTATCCATAATGGAGTTTATTGACAGGGATTATATAATCTATAATGACCTCTATTGACTAGGATTGAATCATCTAGCATAGAGCTTAGAGGCCATAAATGTTATATCCCATGGTCAATTTTTATGACCTGGTCCAGATCCTTAGCACAAACTAATGAAGTCTGTGCAAATGCATAGGCCAGGTTAAGTGAACAAAATGCCATTGTATTCAATGTCCATTTGGAAGATTTATTTTTATATTAATAACTATTCATTTTTGTATGCCATTTCTGACATGACAATCAATGTGAGCACATCTAGAGATATTGTTTTTGAGAAAAATGGAACTGACATATCAAATATATGCAAATACATGCATATGAGATTAGCTTAAATCTTAGTCTCTACTTGGTATAGCCTGAACATGACTTATATCATCTAATGATTTCTGTTGACAGGGATAGGAATTATATCATCTATAATGAATTATTTTTCTAACTTCAGGTATTTTGGTACTGGACTAATAGCAAGTCATGGATTCATGAATTCTTCTAGGACACCAGGTCATCTCATTGTTTTTAGCGAGGATGTGTTTGGATTTCTCTGGCTTGAACTGCGATCACTGAGCATTTACAGTCGAGTGCATGAGAAATTTGTGTAAAATATATGCAAAGTTTTATGGATGCTGAGAAACTTTAACACACAGAAATTTTAACATACAGCAATGGTCTAATGCTGTCAATAATGTGTTCACAAGATGCCCTCTAAAATGACTGTGCCTTGATTGACTGGTCAGAAATAAGTATTGTATCACACAAATGACGAACTCTGCTCAAACTTACCCACTTACTAATCCATAATGTAGATATAAACGGTTTACAGCATCTACAATTGTTGAACATGTATATAATAAATAATATATATAATTTCACATCTGAAAATCTGGTCTGTACTTCTTCATAATGTTGGCAAAGTTACCGTACTCGACCGCGTTAGCGCCCATGCCCGGGCAAGCGCCCACCCCCCACTTTTAAGCAATTTTATATTTGGGGTCACATTCGGCAAAGCGCCCACCCCTTCAAAATGCAACTAATTTAAAACTTGGTCTTGCGTAACGAATCTTGGTAATCGTTTTTATATGATACAGCGTGGATATAGACCGCTGTGAACATGTTGTGAATGCGTAGAACACGGTAACCGTGCGTAAACTACGCTTCGACAATGACCTGTTAATACAAGTAAAATGCGGTAAATATTTCATGCCATATTCAGTTTACCTCTCAAAAATGGCTAGTTACTAGTTTTTTGGAAAAACCATGTCATTTATTCGCTGAAATAAATTCCAACAGATCGTACTTCGACATCGATAATTCACTTCCGCATTGCGTTACCGGAAAGTCTTCGGGAATGCAACACAGCATTCTGATTGGTAAATAACCAACTTGACCCATTAGGTCAAAGGATGCTGCTGCAGGTCAAATGCAAATGCATCATGGCGGAAACTGATTTTCATCGAGAGTTTGCGTACGATCCAACACCTTCATCAGTGGAGATAATATGACAATTTTGACTTCGACTGTGTTCCAACAGACTCAAATGTTTTTAATTTCATAAATTCTGGTGGTACGTAATTAATATTGTAATAAAATGTGCTATTTGTTGTGATCATTTTTGTTTCTTCCTTGTGAAAATCAATGACGACTCAACTAATTTCGTAATTTGATTTTCCCTCAAAGACGTAATCTGTCACTTGATGAATTACATTTTTTATTTGCACTCTTTTTCGAGGGGGGTGCTCACGTAAGCGCCCACCCCTAAAAAATCGTGATTTTCTGAGTTGAGGCCCCTGGGCGCTAACGTGGTCGAGTACGGTAGATGAAAAGCCTTAAAAATTACATGGAAAGTAGGGACTGCTATTCGTGGAAAGCCTGCAAATATGCATGCAAAATGGTGTGAAAAGTTGCTAAAATTATGTGAAAAATCTTGGAAATTGCAAGCAAATTAAAGTTACATGGAAAGTCTGTATTTCTGCCAAGTTGCATGAACATTTGGCAAAGTGACGTGGCAAGTCTGTTGTGTGCAAAATTGGTCAAAATACATGCAAGTCTGTAAAGTTGCATGCAAATTAAGTAAAGTTACGTTTTAATAACGCAAAGTTGCGTGCAAAGTAAGTACAAAGTAAAGTAGTAGAATAGTTGTGCAACGTGAAACTAGAAAGCAAAGTAGTGAGATGGTAGTGCAAAGGTTGAAATTAGAGCCTGAAGTACAGGAATAGTGGTGAAAAGTGTGAAACTAGGCAACAAAGTAGTGGAAACATGATGCAAAATGTAAAAAAGAAATGGTAGTCAGTGGAATAGTGGTGGGGAGAGTGTGAAACTAGAATGCGAAGTAGTAGCAAAGTGTTGCAAAGTGTAAAACTACAGTGCCAGATAGTGTGCGGAGTGTGATTCTAGAACGTAAAGTAGTAGAACAGTGGTACAAAATGTGAAACTAAAGGGTAAGTAGTAGAAAAGTAGTGCAAAGTGTGAAACAAGAGTGCAATTTCACAAGGCGGAGTCAAGTGTGGCTACCAAACAAGGCTGTCCTCGTGTTGTGGGTTCTGCTACTTTTTAGCAATAATTGTGAATTATACATTTTGTATACAAGCAATAACTGGTGACCCTGGTGTAGTCGGTGTGAACATACAACAGACGCAATCATATACTAATCTTTCTGCATTAGTTGTGTACAAGCTTCAGACAAGGATGTCCAACGTGGTCACGCCAGATTGAATTGCCAAGAGCATGTGGTCAAGGCGTAGTTATATAGGTATCAATATCAAGGTGCACATGCTCGGTATTCAAATTTCCCTGACAAGACTATCTGTTCCCTGGGACATTTCAACAAGGGGTGTATGACCCATCATTTATAACAGACACTTAAACAACCCAAGTATATAATGTATCTAAGCATCTGTACAGCATTTCTAGACACCCTGTGACATCCACCCTTTCTAAGGTTCAACCATGTTCTAAGGTTTAACCCACACAATACACAAGGTGTCAGTGATGAGGTGCAATAACCTGCTAATGATTAAATATTACATTTCAACTTAACATCAACCTAAAATAACAATTTACTCTGTCCTCGTCTCTACATTCCTACTTATATAATCCGCTCCAATATTATCAACGCTCTTTATACTGATAACCATAAACAGGAATGATTGAAGATATAGTGCCCATCACATAATGCGACCATTGATAAACTTAGCCGTTTTCATATATGTCAATGGGCATTGATCAGTCTCAACCCCAAACTCAACAGCATATATATAGTGTTGAAATTTCTTTATACTCCACACTAGAGCAAGACATTCTTTCTCAATAATGGCATAATTTACCTCTGCCTTAGTAATTTTCCTACTGGCATATGCGATTGGAAAGGCAATATCATCATAGTATTGAAAAAAAACTACCCCTAACCCTAGGTCTGATACATCTGTGCAGAGTACAAATGTACTCTCAAAATCTAGCAAATGCAATATGGGGCTGCTACTAAGAGCGTCTTTCAGTTGCTTGAATGCCAACTGATGTTGGACTTCCCAAGTGATTTTCTTGGGTTTTCCTTTTTTGTGAGATCATGATAGATGCAATAGATGGACAAAAAATTATTCTGGGTTGGGCATGGGCATGGGCATGGGCTCAGCATTAAATATGGTTATCTTGTTTCCTATAGTCAATACACACTCGAATTTTCCCATCTATCTTTTTGACAAGAATAGGAAATGCACTGGGTGAATCTGAACGTTCTATAGTATCTAGTTCTACCATAGTTTGCACTCCTTTGATGACAATTTCTCGTGTTGCAAAGGGGCTAGGATATGGTTTGCATCGTATTGGGTCTGCAGAGATCAACATAATTTCATGAAACCCAACTTTTAACCTGCCAGGTAGGTCAGTAAGTGTATGAACATACTTTTCCAAGATCAGTTTCACATCCCTTATCAGGGCTTCAGATAGCTCAGCCTCTATCGAAACAAATTCCACCAAGTCATTATCAGGTTGTGACTCAATCAGCCCAGCACCTATGCACATTAGTGCACCCAAAGCATCCCCATCAATGTCAGTTTTTGTCTGTGCACGAGATTTATATTTTTAAAAAAATTGGCATGTTAGAGCTTTAAGGTGCCATCTTTGTCTACCCCACTCGTTCCTAAACAACATATGGTCTCTGCCACTATAACCCCAGCTTATCATTGGCTGTAGGCAGCAATAGCAGAATCAAATGATCTAATCTTTGCACTTTTTTTAAAATGTAGCTTATATTTGTCACTAGACATGCTTATTTCCTGTTGTGCTAATCGACAAGTACTCTCCAACTGATTTCTTAAACAATTACATATTCATAAGTGGTTTTCACCTCAGGGCTTGAGATATCCTACGTCCAAAGCTCCCTCAATGTGGGCTATGGACCTCTCACAGTCCTGTCATATAGGAGTTCAATTGGAGAGAAACCTAAACTTGCCTGAGGTGCTTCCCCATAAGGTAACAGTAATGGATTCAGATAGCAGTCCCAGTCCTTTAGCTTCTCAGCACACATACCGTTGGGCTTGGTTTGAAGTACTCCATTAAAACGTTCACACAAACCGTTAGTCTGGGAGTATTATGGAGTAGTAACAAGTCTGCATATAGACAGCAAACAAGTCACCTCCATTATAACTTCACCCACAAACTGTCTGCCCTGATCAGTAATTACTTGCTCGGGAATCCCAACTCTGCTATAAATGTTCACCAAGGCTTCAGCCACGATTTCAGCTGTCATTCACTTTAGTGGAGTAGCCTCTGCGGAGTAGCCTCTGGAGTAGCATAGTCCACTACTGTCAAAATATACTAGTACCCACTAAGAGTAATAGGTTTGACTAGGCCCACTAGGTCCATTACCACACGTTTGAATGGAATATTGATAAGTGGCATGGTACATAATGACATCTTTGCAATCTTGCTCTTACCCTGTGTAAAAATGCGGTCTTGCGTTTTCTGAGTCTCCAAGTGACCTCCTAAAATGGCCAAGTCTCATAATTTCAAGTCGAAATTGGATTGGTACCACCAGTTGACTAAATGTATCCCATGTTAAAAGAGGGGAGCATAGAAATGACGATATAATATACCCTTCTTGAAGAAATTACTAACATTAGACTTGTTAGTAGAACAGTGACTTAAAATGTGAAACTAGAGCGTAAAGTATGGAAAAGTAGTGCAAAGTGTGCAACAAGAGTGCAAGGTAGTGGAAACATGGTGCAAAATCTGACACTAGAGCCTGAAGTACAGGAAAAAGGTGAAAAGTGTGACACTAGAGTGCAAAGTAGTGGGAAAGTGGTGCAAAGTGTGAAACGAGAGTGCGAGATAGTGGAATAGTGTGCGGAGTGTGAAACTATAGAGCAAAGTGTGAAACTAGAATGCAAAACA